TTGCTGTGTCCTTTTCTTCCCCCCTAGACAGGGTTTCTCCGTGTAGCTTTAGAGCCTATCCTGGCACTCACTCTGGAGACCAGGCTGGCCTCAAACTCACAGAGATCCGCCTGCCTCTGCCTCCCGAGTGCTCTGATTAAAGGCTTGAGCCACCACCGCCTGGCTGCTGTGTCCATTTTTCTGAAGGACTATTCACATCTTTTGTAACAACTCAAATGAACTTTCTGCCAGTAAATCACACAAGCCTTTGTGTGGTATGTGCTCATGCATTTTTCGTGTTGTTTATTTTGTTTCTTTTCATTTTTTAAATGTTTCTTGGAAACACTGTCTCATTGTGTGGCTGGGGTTGTTCTGAAACTGGTTCTTCAACCTGGCTGACCTTGAATGGGCTAATCCTCTTGCCTCTGTCTCCCAAATACTGGGATTACAGGCATTCACTACCACACTGGGCCACAAGTTTCTAGTTCACAAAAAGTCTATTGTCTTTCTCGGCAGATCCTGAGCGCTGCGCACGGAGGCCTAGGTTCTGATGAGTAGAACATTGATCTACATCTTCTCATCCAGTGTTTTCATTTTAATTGCATGTTTGAAACTTAGAGACATGGAATTTATTTTGGTATGAAGAATGGGGTTTGAGCATGGTGGCACATGCCTATAATCCCAGCAGGAAGTGCACAGCGAGTTCAAGGCTGGCCTGGACTACACAGTGGGACCCTATGAAAATGAATGAAATAGGGATTTAATTCAAGTTGTTCCCAGCTGGTCCTGTGCTACTGGTTAGGTAGTCCTCTTTCACTGTCTTCACTATCATCCTCTCCATCTTGGCACCACAAGGCTCTGTATAGCCTCTGACCCCAATCAGGTCACTTGGAGACAGAGAGAGCCCTGCTCCTCTGCTAGTCATGAGAAGGGAACAGTAACCCTCCAGTCCTGAGAGAGAAGAGGGTCACTCATTCAAGGCCTTTCCTTTGAAAGGAAGATTGTAAGGAAACCTGGGGAGAGCGTGATCATTCTCCACAGAGTAGTGACAACCACACAGATATTTCTGAATAGTTGCTATGCATACATACACACCTAGTTGTTTTGGCTTTGTTTTGGTTTAGTTTTTGGCTGAGATAAAGGGTCAAACTTGGGCCTGGAATTTGCTATGCAGACCAGACAAATCTCTAAGTTGTAGCAATCCTCCTGCATCTGCTGCTTCCCAAGATTCAGGGTTCTAAGAGTTTGCCATCATACCTGAATCAGGCGGAGGCAGACATTCCTAACAGACCTCTTAATAATAAGAACTCCAGGCCCGGCAGGGTGGCATGTGCCTATAATCCTAGCACTCAGGAGGCTGAGGCAGAAGGATCATGAGTTCCAGGTCAGCTCATGTAGTATCATGAGACCTTGTCTCAAAAAACAAATTAAGAGATAAATACATAAATAACAGCAGAGACTCCAGGAACGATGAAGCTAACTTGTCTCAAAAATACCAAGTCCTTTACATTTATTTTCTATTTTAACTATGCATATGTATGTGTGTCTGTGTGTGGATCTGTGTACATGTGAATGCATTGCCCACAGAACCCAGAGGAGATGTTGGGTCTGGAGTTACAGGAGACTGTGAGGCCCCAGTGTGGGTTCTGAATACCAAACCTGGATGCTCTGCAAGAACAATATGCGCTCTTAAGCACAGAGCCATCTCTCTAGCCCCTCAAGCCCTTTTAAAAGAAAAAAATCTAGAAGAACCCCAAGAATCTATCTACAAGATTCCAACTCAAAATAAAACCAAAGATAGAAACCAGCGATGTATTCTACAAGCATCTTCCAACTGCAAACTAATATGTGCTCACAAATGTTGAGAAGAATTTTTTTTCTAGTCACTAAAAGGAAAATGTGACTTTTAAGGTTCTTCCTTAGGAACTCTGAAGATAAAAGTTCTTCCTGCTCTGAGGGCTTGAGTTCTGGTCACATGCCATTGGCTGGAAATCACCTGCAGTCTACCAGGAAATGTAGGCCCCTCATCTGACTTCCACAGGTGGGCACACACACACACACACACACACACACACACCACACACACACAATCATTAGAAAAACATTTTAAAAGAAACTTCCATCCGGGCGTTGGTGGCGAACCGCCTTTAATCCCAGCACTCAGGAGGCAGAGGCAGGTGGATCTCTGTGAGTTCGAGGCCAGCCTGGTCTCCAGAGCGAGTGCCAGGACAGGATCCAAAGCTACACAGAGAAACCCTGTCTTGGAAAGAAGAAGAAGAAGAAGAAGAAGAAGAAGAAGAAGAAGAAGAAGAAGAAGAAGAAGAAGAAGAAGAAGAAGAAGAAGAAGGAAAGAAAGAAAGAAAGAAAGAAAAAAAAAGAAAAAGAAAAAGAATCCCCCCCCAAAGAGTCTTCCAAGAATTAGAGGTGGGCATATTGATTACAATCGCAGCTACTGAGGAGGCTGAAACAGGCTGAGCAACTCATGAAAGAAAGGGTGAGGAAAGAAGGAAGGAGGAGAAGGGGAGGAAGAGCACAGCTACAGTCCTGGCATGGAGAGAGGGGAGGAAGAGCACAGCTACAGTCCTGGCATGCGGCGGCGGCGGGGTTGTCTAGTTTCAAACAGTGACAAACATCAGCTCTATATGCTATTCCTTCCCACGCTTTCTCCTCTTTCTCCCTGCTTCTCTCCTTGAAGAAGCCTGGTAGACCCAGGCTTCAGGCAACAAAATGGGACCAGCATTTTATCCTGTCCCTTAATCGAGTTTTTCCAATAAATATATTTTACAGTTGCATTGGGAATTTTAAAAAATCATCATTATTAAATAGATCATTCTGAAAACAGATTTTTAAAAGTTATTTTACTGTTTTTACATTCATTTATTTATTTTTGCTGCAGGAGGGTCTCTCTATTAGGTAGCTCTGGCTAACCTAGTTGCTATGTAGACCAGGCTGGTCTCGGACTCACAGAGATCTGCCTACCTCTGCCTCCCGAGTGCTGGGATTAAAGGTGTGCGCCCCCCCTTTTTTTTTTTTTTTAATTTACAGCCATCCCTTCATCTCTGAGACAGGATTTCTCTGTGTAACAGCTCTGGCTGTCCTGAAACTCACTCTGTAGACCAGGCTGGCCTCGAACTGCCTCCCAAGTGCTGGGATTAAAGGCCTGTGCCACCACCACTTGGCTTATTTCCTTAACTTGTGGTGGGCATCCTTCTTGATTTTTGTCCTTGCTGAAACATTTCTCAGTAAATACCTAACAGGGCAAGTGGTGGCAACCATGTGGCCTCCCACAGTGCTGTAGGGTCCCCTGGGCTGACCTGGAGCTGCCCCACCTCTTAGTCCAAGACAGACCTTGGCAAAGCTGTCCCCAAACTGTCCTGGAGTGTTGTTCACCCTTTCCTAGAGAGTTCCAAGACTAGACAGAGGCTGCTGGAGCGCGAAGGTCACCGACCCTGCAGACTACAATGCACAGGGTCTCCCGAGGGCTGAGATTTCTTGATCCCTTAGCCAGGATACTGACCTTGAGCCAGGACAGTATCTTTTTCTGATCACAGAAAGGTTGAAAGGTGTAGGAGGTTTCCAGCTCCCTCCCTAGGTCCATCCCATCAGGCTGTAACCTCACACAGGATACCCAGTATTTGTAACTTAATAAAAGCAGTGTGCGAGAGAAAGATACCATGTGACAGAGTTCGAGCAGAGGGTTTTTTTTTTTTAATTAGGGAAAAAGGATCATAAAAAGGGGAATGGAAAAAGAATTGAATGTTAAAGCCAAAAAAGGGGGGAGGGAGGAGGAGGAGAAGGGGGCAGGAGCAGCAGGAGAGAGGAAGGGGGGCAGTAGGTGGTGGGCAGGGCCCTGTTAAAAGGGAACAATGAATATGCACAAGCAGTGCTCTTAGAGGCTGCAGCTGAGGGCCTATCCTGTCTGAACTCCAAGGACAGGCCAGTACAGAAGCCTGAATACTGACACAGAGGTTACTCTCTACTGGAAAACGTGGTATATGTTGGGCCAGCAAGATAGCTAAATGTGTAAACATGTTTGCAAGATAGCTAAGTGTATAAGTCTGAAAACCTGAGTTCAGCCCTCAGAACCCACAGTTGAAGAAGACAGCCAACTGTCAAACATCCTCTCACCTCCACATGTGTATGCATTTTTTAGAAAATAATTCACCAATTATTGTGTGTGGGTGTATACTTATGTATGTGTGTGTATATGCGTGGGCATATGTGGCCTACGTTACATTAGAAGATATCTGAGCCCAAATACCTGTCCTTTGTTCAAAGTCACTCTTGCTGACCTCCAAGGCCTCACCTGGCCCTCTTCCCCAACAGCTAATTCTGTCTCAGGGAGACAGATCTATTACACATCTAGTGAAAAACAAACATAACCCAGCAAGGTGGTGTGTGCCTGTGAGCCTAGCACTCAACAGGAGAGGGGAAGGTCTGCTGTGGGTTTCAGGCCTCCTGGGCCACCAGTGAGACCCAGGCTCAGAAAAGCAAAAGTGGGGCCTGGACAGGTGATGGCTCAGCAGTTAAGAGCACTTACTGCTCTTGCAGAGGACTGGGGTTTCCCTAGTACACACACACACACACACACACACACACACACGCACGCACGCACGCACGCACGCACGCACGCACGCACGCACACGGCAGCTAACAACTGTGATCCAAACCCTCTTCTGGCCTCTGCATATTTATGCAAATGTGCATAGGCAAAGCACTTACATCATTTTAAGATGCAAAAATGATAGAAATAGTCAATAAATGAGACCCAGGTTTTGCTGGTTAGTGTATGAGTGGTTATTAAACTTGTAGGACATATTTAAGATGGTCTGTCTTAAACTATAGGCTCAAATGACCCCTACAAAAATCCTTCTGCAGATCTGTGAGATCCCTCCCATGACTCGGCAGGCTAGGAGGGAACAATAGAAGGGAGGCATGAGCCCCCAGACAGTGAAGGAAGCACGAAGATCAGAGAGAGGCACATCCCAAGAGAGAGGCACATCCCACACAAGAGAGAGGCACATCCCACACAGAACCGCTGGGGAGAGAGAGGCACATCCCACACAGAACCGCTGGGGAGATGCAAAAAAGAATAAATGACAGAGAAAGACAAAGGGAGACAGACAAAGATGGAGAGAAGCCGAAGGCAGGACCTATAGCCCATTCCTTGCTTCCTAGGACCAGACGAGAAGGTGAGTACCGGCCAAGCTTCAGGAACAGCGAGGACAAAGCCAGAGATGAACTGAAAGGGATGAGAGCATCCGGGACTTGAGAACAGACTTTCGCTTTCACTTACTCTGTGCTTAGCAGCAACACAGATGCTAACAGAAGCAAAATGCAGCCCAGGTCCTGGTGCTGGATGTATCTGGCCTGTTTGGGAGATCCACCCCCCACATCCAGGAAAGGCTGCTAACAGGCAAAGGTGAGGTGGACGTTACAAGGGCTGGATGAGAAGTAAGGCTCCACAGGTCATCACAATGGCTGGGACAGAAAGCAGAGTGTGAGCTCCCTGGGAAAGTGGATGAGACAGAGGCATGAGTGGACTCTGGAGGGGAGGGGAGCAGCACTGGCAAAGTGGTGAAAGGGAAACTTAGGAAAGCCCTAGCTCAGGGGCTAAAGGACACCTGACCTGGTCACAGTTGAGGATAGCGTGGTGGTGGAAGCAGTATTTAGGCAGTCCTGGGCCAAGTGGCAGCCAGACCTAGATGGCAACAGAATAAGATGGAGAAGCAGCTAACCCTGTCAGTCCCTCTATACACTCTGTGTGTCCCAGTTACCTTTTACTGTCAACCTAACACAGCCTGGAGTACCTGAGAATGGAGTAGCAATTGAGGGACTACCCTGTGGTGGGATATTTGTACAGAGTGGGATTTTTGTATTGCTGTGATTGGTTTAATAAAGAGCTGAACGGCCAATAGCTAGGCAGAAGGTATAGGTAGGACTTCCAGGTAGAGAGAGGAAGCAGGAGATGAATCAGGTGAAGAGGAGAAGCCAATGAGACATGGAGGGAGTCTCCAATGAGACATACAGCAGGAAAGAAAGGCAGAAGGCCACATGGTAAAACATAATAAAGCAATTTAAGTTATAAAAGCTAGTGGGACAAGCCTAAGCTAAGGCCAAGTTTTCATAATTAATAATAAGACTCCGTGTTGTTATATGGGAGTTGGCTGGTGGGACAGAGAAAGACTGCTTACATATGGCACCCAGCATGGGACTTGAACCTCCACATTGGGCTTGAGAAAGTGATCTCTCAAGTAGGCTCAGCATACAGAGGCCCTGCTATGCAGCTGAGCACTTGAGCAGTGGACACTGGCTAAAAACTCCTGCCATAGAGAGACACAACAAATTCCCAGAGCTGCAGCAGGTGGATGCGGCTCTGGGCCTGGGTACCTGCCAGCATGAAGCTAGGCTCTGACAGAACGGAGAGAGGGTAGAGCCAGCTTCCAGTGCCCATCTTTGGTGGTAGCCTAGAGGTTTAAGATTTGTCTCCTGGGAGGCTGAGGAGATGGCTCAGTGGTTAAGGGGACTAACTGCTCTTCCAGAAGACCCGGGTTTAATTCCCAGCACCCACATAGCAGCTCACAACTGTCAGTAGCTCCAGTCCCAGGGTACCTGACATCCATGCAAAAACACCAATGCACGTAAAATAAAATTTTACATAAATAAATTTTAAAAAAGATTTTTCTCCTGTGGTCAGAGAGAGAGCTGTAATACATGGCTGCAGACACACAAACTCAAAATAGTAATAATAGATGTCATTAGGCAACACACACACACACACACACACACACACACACACACACACCAAAACAACAACAACAACAACAACAAACCCTCCTCTCCCCCGAAAAAAACCCTAAACAGGTACAATATGCTTAAAAAGGTACTTAGGTGCTAAATAAATAAAAAGAAAGAAAGAAAGAAAGAAAGAAAGAAAGAAAGAAAGAGGTATAGACAGTCACAAAAATAGTTTGAAAACAAAGTCTTTAAAGAATAAAGTAATAAAAAAATAATCCATGTAAGGTTGAAAAATATTATAACAGAGGGAGTTTGGACCTTTTTAAGATGCTAATGAACAGAAAACAGCAGTTGGAGATGCTGGGTTATAAAAGGCACTGATGGATTAAACCAGCCTATGTACTTTAGAGCTGCCTTAGCTTCAGAATGGAAGTTGGGAAGTGTGTTATCTTGGGGAAGGGTTGTGCTTTTGTTTCCACAGGAAATGAAAAGCTATGTACGATTCTTTCAAAATTAACAAAGGTCAGATTTGACCAAGGGAGACCTCCTGAGGACCTGGGCTACAGACATGAGGGAGGAAGCCAGGAAAGACCGCAGGACAGGTGACATGCATTCTGATCCCTCTGCTTGGGAACAGCTCTGAGACTGAATGAGGCATGATAAATCTGGTTGGTTACAGAGTCCTTTTGACATATTGTTACACGCCATCCTTTTATATGGCATGGATAGAGATTTATATTACAGTTTGGTTATGCAGTCCAAATTAACAGATGCCTTTTACCTGCTCAAACATAAAACATAAAATCATCTTTGACTGACTTATGAACACCACATATTTCATATTTGTGTTAGTATATATATATATATATGTTACCTTTAAAAGTTTGTGTGTTGTCAGGGAAAAAAAAAAAAGAAAGAAAAGAACCAGACACCAGTAAAGATAAGTAGCCCAGGAAATCCACCCTCTCAGAATGGCTCTGTTGCAGTTTCCTCAAGATTCTGCATCCAGAACAGCTCCAAAGCTGCTAGCTGAGATGGTCCAGCCCCACTACCCAGCCAAGACTTAAGATAAGCTCCACACTTTCCCATCACACAGAGACTAAACAACAAAAAAAAAAATAGTACAACCAGCTCTCCCAGGACTTGACCATTATCCCAACCTTCTCAGGGTCCCCCAAAGATGCTGTAGTCCCCAGACAATGGGAAATAATTTTAAGAGGATGACACCCAAATTCTCAAAAGGTAGGGTGGTGGTTTCTGTCTGTTCAGTGGATTATGGCTGTATATCATCATTTAGGGGGGTTGATTACAAGATGCTATTAGTCATAGTCAAGGGAGGAAACTAAAGCAAAAGAGATTAGATTCTAGGCTCTCATTCTGAAAAGAGGGGGAATATAATATATCATAAGAATGATAGGATAAAAGGATAGATTATTAAATCTACTTTTAAACTAAATAAGCAATTACTAACCTCAAATATTTTACATTGGCATGGATTTTTTATATTGATACAATTTTAAGGTCATTTTTGTTATATTGTATTTATGTTTCTACTCTTGTTTAAGGTATTGTACCTATGCAGCTCACTTTAAAATGTAATATATAATTAAGAAATACAGATTAGTAGGTAATCATCTATAATAATCAAACTGGCAGTCATGTTAGGTATGTTTTCAAGGTCAAAAATATATTTTATATAGACATATGGTCTTCAAAAACTTCAGAGACCTATTGAATATGGCCTTCTGATATTTTAATAACATAAGGCTTTACATGCCAGTGAGACACATCTGCTCCTGGCAGCACCAATTTACTTCAAAAAAGGATAATGGACATAGAAGAGCCTCCATACGGAGCTTACTTTCAATATGGCAAAGCAAGAAAGTGCTCTTGCCTCAACGGCTGGCAGTATGCTGTTCAAATTAGATGAGCAGGACACAAAAGAAGGTGACTGCCAAACTTTGTCAAGACAAGGTAGAACAGTTCTTCAAAATTCCTGCTTCACAATAAAGCCTGTGTGAAATTCAAGGCTTGTAGGGTCAAAGATGGATGCCCCAATGTTACAGAGGAACCTTGAGTGATTGTCCAGGAAACCGAATGTCCCCATTGTTTCTTAGTTTTGGAAGTTGCTTGCTCTGCACTTGTTTAATCAGGTAATATTATATCCTTCTTGGGGCTTTGATGAGGTTAAAGAGTAAATAGTTATACAGTCTTCCTTGTTACCAAATTCAGAAAAAAAATTTATAAAAGATGTAAAGTTTGTAAGGTTGAGAAACATAAAAGCTTAAGTTGTTTAAGACAAATTTTAAGGTCTGAAAAGACAGCTTTTGGTTGGTAATACAAGTTAGGATAGAATGTATATTAGGTACAAAACTTTTGACTAACCAAGACACTCTAGATAATAAAGTAATTTCCCCAAATTTGCTAAATACAAATGGACTAGACATTACAAATATAATTCTTACTTGATAATTGTTCTTATTGTATATAATTTTACTGTATTAGAGCTAAACCTTTCATTTTTCTTTAGACAAAAGGAGAGAATTTGTGAGGTATTTATACACGGTATGAAGATACAGTGCTGCCATCGGTTAAATAAAGAGTGAACAGTCAATAGCTAGGCAGGAGGCATAGGCGGAACTCCCGGGCAGAGAGAGGAAACAGGAGATGAATCAAGGCACAGAGGAGATGCCAATGAGACATGGAAGACATACAGCATGAAAGAAAGGTAAAAGGCCAGGGAGTAAAATGTGGGTTAAAGGAGTTCAAGTTATAAGAGCTAGTGGGACAAGCCTAAGCTAAGGTGGAGCTTTCACAATTAATAAGTCTCTGTGTCATTCCTTTGGAGCTGGCTGGTGGGACAGAAAAAGACTCGTTACTCTGTCCAGATCAGACTGGCCTGTGAGCATGTCTGTGGGAGATTGTTTTGCTTGTTAATTGATGTAAAAGAGACCAGTCCACTGTGGATTGGGTGGGACCACTACCTAGGCAGATGGTCCTCGGTTACATAATAAAAAAAGTTAGCTAAACATAAACCTCTGTGAACCAGGAAGCACCATCCCTCCGAGGTCTCTGCTGTACTTCCTTGGCTGTGAAGTGAGTTCCTTGGTCAGAACTAATGCTGTGTGGAATAGCAAGCAGGCCTGTCTTCAAGTTCCCTCTTGAGTTCCTACTCCGACTTTCCCCTTCTTCAAGGATGGATTGTGTAACCTGTAAGCTGAAATAAACCCTGTCCTTCCCCAAGTTGCTATTCATCAGAGTGTTGTGTGGAAGCAACAGACAGCAAACGAGAACACCGTGTGGTTCATCCTGCCCTCTCCTGGAAGGCCTTTGCCTCCCACATCCCTTCTCAAAGCAAACCCCGAGATGGGCCCCATGTTCTTCCTCTTCCAGGAGGCCTTTGGAGAGGAGTTGACACCCCTCCCAGCCCCCACCCAGCCTAAATGTCACAGGAAATGTCCCTGGGATGGGCTGTTAGGTTGTGACTTCATCAGAGGCCATCGGAGCACAATTTTGCTCCATCTACGCTTTGTTTCACCACGCCCAGAGTTTGCCTGTTCCCAGGAGCCCCATCCACTGTCTGTCTGAGTATACAAACCCTGAAAACAGACACAAGGGGCTGTGGAGGGAATCAGGGAGAGGCAGGCCAATTTGCCTAGAGGTGCTTTGGTCTGGCAGGACACAGATTGACTCACCCTACAAAGGAGGGAGTGGCAATCACCTGGCAAGAGGTGTCTTTAGAGAAAGCCGGCCTCTACCTTTAGTCTCCATTACGCCTTGGAAAATAGGCTTGGAGGCTGCAGGCAGCCTTTTCTTTTGTCCACTGTGGGCCTAAGAAGAAGAGAGACACACCCTCCTGTGGCCCCCAGGCCCATCACTGAGCGGCCAGGCCTGTGTCCCACCCACAGATCTACACAAGCAGCTGCAGTCATGGATAGGTTCCGAATGCTCTTCCAGAACCTTCAGTCCAGCTCGGAGTCAGTGATGAACGGCATTTGCCTTCTGCTGGCTGCCGTCACAGTCAAGATGTACTCGTCCTTCGACTTCAACTGCCCCTGCCTAGCACGCTACAATGCCCTCTATGGCCTGGGCCTGCTGCTCACACCCCCTCTGGCCCTCTTCCTCTGTGGTCTCTTGGTCAACAGACAGTCTGTGGTGATGGTGGAGGAATGGCGCCGGCCAGCAGGACACCGGAAGAAGGACCTGGGCATCATCAGGTAGGGTCCCACACACGTCTCTGCTACCCAGGGCAGTTGGCAACATCAGGCACCTCCCCCGCTCGTATCATTTTTCACCGTTCCATGGCCACTACTATAATCATAAGAACGATTCAGGGTTTCCAGGAATTATCTGGGTCCCATTTGTTCCATCAGGTGAATAGAAGGTCTTTTGTTTGTCTGGTGCATGCAGCAAGACACAATAATTTCTTTAAAGGCTGCATTTCCTTTCCTGGATGCTTCCTGAGACAAGCACCTATCCTGTTGTCACCTCAGGGTCGCATGTGGATACGAATCAGCTGGTAAGCCTTAGCAGCTCCTAAAGCCCACTGGCTGGGGCCAAGCTCCACTCTGCTGAGTGCTTTGCAAGCAAGGCATCCCTAAGTTGACGTTCCTCAGCCCTGGGTGTGCTCCTTTAGCAGACCTGCTTCCCAGAGGATGAATCTCTGACACAGACACTGAGAACTGTGGTCAAGGGCTGAAGATGTAGCTCAGTTGGCGGGGCGCTTGCCTAGAATGCACCAAGGCCTGGGCTGGATGCCAGCACTGCATCCACCAGATGGGAAGGCACACTCCTGTGACAGAGGAAGCAGAAGGCTCAGGAGCTGAAGGTGATCCTAAGCTACTGCACAGAGTTCAAGGCCAAACCGGCATCTATAAGGCCATGCTGGGAGAAGCAGGGGGTAGGGGAAGAGAATATGAGAGAGAGACCGTAACCAAGCTGTCACAGCTAGGAAGTGGCCACACTGAAAGCCGGGTTCCCACTGACTGCGTGCCGGCTGTCCTTTGAAGCCCCCTTTCTCTGCTTTTAGGTACATGTGTTCCTCCGTGCTGCAGCGAGCCCTAGCAGCACCCATGGTCTGGATCCTTCTGGCCCTCCTTGACGGGAAGTGTTTTGTGTGTGCCTTCAGCAACTCCGTTGACCCCGAGAAGTTTCTGGATTTTGCCAACATGACCCCCAGTCAGGTACAGCTCTTCCTAGCCAAGGTGCCCTGCAAGGAGGATGAGATGGTTAAAGACAGCCCCGCACGCAAGGCTGTGTCTCGATACCTGCGGTGCCTGTCACAGGTAAGTAGGGCCCTGCCCGGGCCTTGATCCCTCATAGATACTATGCTGGTTTCATGTCAGTTTGACACAGGCTAGAATCATCTGTGAGGAAGGAATCTCAATTGAGAAAATACCTTCATAAGATGTGCTATAGGTAAGTCTGAAGGGCATTTTCTTAATGACTGATGTGGAAGGGCTCAGTCCATTGTGGGTGGGGCCGCCCCTGGGCTGCTGGTCCTGGGTTCTATAAGAAAGCAGGCTGAGAAAGCCATAAGGAGCAATCCAGAAAGCATCACTCCTCCATGGCCTTTGCATCAGCTCCTGCCTCCAGGGTCCTGCCCTGTTTGAGTTCCCGTCCTGACTTGCTTAATGATGGAGTATGATGTTGAAGTATAAGCCAAATCCTTTCCTTCCCAAGTTGCTTTGGTCATGGTGTTTCACAGCAATGGTTACCCTCAGACATATATCCTGTGTTGCTTTGGGGTTAGTGCTGAGTTGGGTCTACATGACTTCCCAAGGATGTCCCTCACTTCTGGAGCCGTAACCGAGAGCAGGAGATATAGGGCATTGGGACTACTACCACTGGGTCCCAGCGAACAGTGAGTGGGTCATTGATACCAACTGTCTTAGGGTTTCTATTACTATGAAGAGACACCATGACCACGGCAACTCTTCCAAATGAACTCTTGCCGTTCAGAGGTTCAGTGCATTACAATCACGGTGGGACATGGAGGCATGCTGGCAGACGTGGTGATGGAGAAACGGCTGAGAGTCCTACATCTCGCAGGCAACAGGAAGTGGTCATCTGAGACCCTGGGTGGGATCCTAGCATATATAAGACCTCAAAGCCCTCCCCTACAGTGACACACTTCCCCCAACAAGACCACACCCACTCCAACAAAGCCACACCTCATAATAGTGCCACTTCCTGTGAGCTTCTGGGGGCCAGTTACATTCAGACTACCACACCAGCTTACCCAGAGCATGCACCAGGTGCCTACCTTCCCGAAGTCACAGGAGCTGGATGGCAGAAGAGTGCTGGTGATTTCCTGCAATACCTGCCTCCCCACAACCTAGAACATAACTAGTTGAAAATAAGATAATCACCGTTTATTGCATGCTTCCATGTCAGGCTCTGTGCTAAGTATTTTCTGTGCATCAGTTTGTCTAATTCTCAGAATAACCCTTTGGGATGAAGGCAGTTGTTAGCATCTGGTATTTCAGATGAGGCAATGGAGGCTCTGGGAATTTTTAGTTCACAAGGCCAAAGTCACATAACTTGTAACAGGCAAGGCAAGCTTCTGGATCTATGTCACTGGTCCTTCTATCTCCTTACAAAGCAGATCCTCGTCAGCTGCCTGGATCATTACTGGGTAGCCTCTCCACTATCCTGGGACATCCACAGCCCCACCTCTACCGAGGCTCCCAATTCCACCACCATCACCAAAGCCTGAGCTGGCCTGTGCCCATCCTGGAGCATTTATGACCCCGTTACACATGGGATGTCTTCACAACTCCAAAAAGCCCTGTTCTCTGGAGTGAAGGGAACATTTAGGCTCAGAGGAAATGCAGGCTTGAGGTGTGGTAAGAGGACCAGAACTCAAGATGTACAGCAGTCTAGGCTCTCCCAAGATCAGCAGAAAAAACATGGAGTTTTCTTTCAGTCAGACCCGGGTTTGCATCCTACATTTTAAGTTATCCATCATGCCTGGCTTCTCAAGTTTTTTTTTTTTTCATTTTTCTGATGCTCATGCATAAAATACTCGACTTGTTTGGTGAGGGAGCCTGTGTGTGACCAAATAAGGGAACTGTGTAAAGGGCGGGATGCATCTACAAGTGCCAAGGATTTTCATGTTTGTGGGCCTGGGAAAGGCTGCGGCTCTGATAGAGGAGATGAGCCGGGCAGCTGTGGGCTCCAGCATTGGAGAATGACTTCCGGCGTCCCCCACCATTGGCCTAGGATGCTGCCCTCAGCCCCATTCCCTGCCTCACAAAATATAGCATGGTTTCGAGGATGGATGGGAAATGTATATGAGGACGGGTAAAAAGATGAAGTGGTTGATGCGCGGATGCGTGGGCCATAAACAGGAAGAAGAATATGGAGGCACGAGTGGATGGGCGGCTAGGCGGATGGCTAAGAAGGACACATGAAAGAATGGCTAGATGGGATAGTGATGGACATATAGTCAAAGGGAGGGGTGATTGGGTGATTGGGTGATTGGGTGATTGGGTGATTGGGTGGAGAGATGGTTAGATGGATGAGTCCGGAGGATGAACGCGAAAATGTATAGCTGTGATGAAGGGCAGAGAGAAGGGGAGGGGCCTTGGAGCGCACACGCTAGAGCCCCACTTCATCTCACTAATGCCTTCTCGTCCTCCAGGCCATCGGCTGGAGTATTACCTTACTGCTGATAGTGGTGGCCTTCCTAGCCCGCTGCCTGAGGCCCTGCTTCGATCAGACAGTCTTCCTACAGCGCAGATACTGGAGCAATTATGTGGACTTGGAGCAGAAGCTCTTCGATGAGACGTGCTGTGAGCATGCGCGGGACTTCGCACACCGCTGTGTACTGCACTTCTTTGCGAGCATGCAAAGCGAGCTGCGCGCTCTGGGGCTACATCGCGGTGGAATCCCCGAGTCACAGGAGCTCCCAGAGCCCCCAGAGGACCTGGATGGTGGAAGCGGGAAGGCCCACCTGCGTGCGATCTCCAGCCGAGAGCAGGTGGATCACCTCCTAAGTACCTGGTACTCCAGCAAGCCGCCGCTTGACCTTGCAGCATCCCCCAAGCTCTGGAGGCCTGGCCTCAACCACCGCGCCTCTATAGCTGCTCCAGGTACCAAGCTGTGCCACCAGGTCGATGTGTAGGACCCTTGCTCGGCTCCAGCAACAGCAGCAGTTTTCCCAGGTCAAATGGCCATGTTGACATGGATCTGCAAGCCAGTCTCCCTTGTTGACCTCTTTCCCTGATAGCCCAGTGTCTGCCTAGTTTCTGGGTATGTCCTCCTCTGTGGATACCAATCCCTCTGAGCCCGATCAAGTTCAGATTCTGATTCAGCGCTCCTAGGACTGAGTCCCTGAATCCATCCATCCATCCATCCATCCATCCATCCATCCATCCATCTATCCACCCTTCCTCCTTCCTTCCTTCCTTCCTTCCATCCTTTTTTCTTTCCTCCATTCCTTCCGTCCTTCCTCTCTCTTTCCCTCCCTTTCTCACCTCTCCTTTCCTTCTATCCTTGCCCCCCCACACACACACACCTTTTGAGGAAGAGACACACTTTAGCTGTCTAGGGGAAGGCCTTGAACTCCAGGCCTGGACTGCATGAGTAGTCTCCTGCCTTGGGCTCCCTTGTTGTTAGGGTTACAGGTGTGAGCCATCTTTCCTGACTCTCATCTCTAACAAGCCCCAACACAATACTGGGTCTTCTGGTCAGTGGACCAAACTTTGAGTAGTCACAGTCTGAATAAATCTGTTGTGGATATGGCTCACAGACACTGATAACCAGTTTAAAAAAATGGTGACAATAGTGTCACATGCCTGATATTTATTCATTTGACCTTCATGTAACCTGGTGAAGAAGGTGTGATTATTAGCATCCACCTTTAAATTTAAATTACACTTATTTGTTTGTTTGCTTCTTATGTGTGTGTGCATGTGTGTGTGCCTTAGTGTGTGCGTGTGCGTGTGCGTGTGCGTGTGTGCGTGCGTGCGTGCGTGCGTGCGTGCGTGCGTGCGTGCGTGCGTGCGTGCGTGCGTGCGTGCGTGCGTGCGTGCGTGCGTGCGTGCGTGCGTGCGTGCGTGCGTGCGTGCGTGCGTGCGTGCGTGCGTGCGCAGTGATCAAACTCAGGCTGTCAGTTAGGGCAACAACTGTCTTTACCTGCTGAGCCATCTCATTGCCCTTTCTCCTTTTCTAAAGAGAAAATTATTGTATTTTATGGATATGGGGAGGGGTGGGTATTTGCTTGTGTGTGCTGGTGTCCATAGAGGCCAGAGGTGTTGGATTCCCCTGGAAATGGAGTCACAGGCAGTTGTGAACTGCCCGAGCTTGGGTCCTCTGCAAGTACTGTATGGATTCTTAACCCCTGATCCATCTCTCCTGCCCCGCCCCATACCCTCTTAAAGCCTTACTCTGTAGCCTTAGCTGATCTGCAGCTTGCAGGGATCACAATGATGCCAGCATACCCAGAAACAAAGGTGTGTGTGTGTGTGTGTGTGTGTGTGTGTGTGTGTGTGTGTGTAATGGGGTCCCATGAAACTTTGCTGGCCTCCAACTTTCAGTCTAGCTGAAGGTGACCTTGAACTCCTGACTTTCCTGCCTCCACCGCTTGAGTTCTAGAATTACAAATGTGTACCATGGTGCCTGGTTTATGCAGTGCTGGGGCTGGCACTCAGATCTTGGTGCATGCTAAGCACCTAAGCTACATTATTAGATCGATGTTTGAAAAAGAAAACTGAACCCAAAAGGTATTCAAAGTTGCCGGAGGTCACCAGAGTAGGAGTTGGCACTGGCTCCCAGGACACCTGGCCCTGGGTTCTCTTCTGAGGTATGGCATCAGTTTACTTCCTGGATCTGTTTGCCTCTCAATGCCCTTGTTGGGTTTCTTGTTGCTTCCACCAGGGTTCTTGTAGTAGGTTCTAGCAAGCTCTGCTTGGTAAGTTTCTCATGAAAGCCCTACGCACTGACTCTTAATGGCCACTCCAGATGGTTTCTATCTTCCAGACTGGGGGTCGAGCTCACTTGGTGGAATGTTTGCCCAGCATGAACCAGGGTTCAATCCTTAGCACTGTATAAACTGGACACATTGAACACACTTGTATCCAGCACTCAGGAGGTGGAGGCAAGAACATCAGATGTTTGAGGTCGTCCTCAGACACAAAATGAGTTCAAGGCCAGCCTGGGCTACACAAGACCTTGCCTCAAAAATAAATGATAAGCAAACAAGTAAACAAACAAGCACATAAATTAATAAATAAATAGGGCTGGTGAAGTAGCTCTAAGAGTAAAGGCACCAGCTGCCACCCCTAAAGATCTGAATTCAGTCCCCAGGGTGCACATAATAGAAGCAGAGAAGCAACTCTTGTCAGTTCCACCAACGCCCATCTGGCCCAGGCCTTCTGCCCTCTAGCTGGTGGGGTTGCCTCCCTCACCTTTCTGCCACCATCTCCCCTGCTTTGCCACATGAATCAGGAGTCAGCGTCATCCCCTTCTCCGGTGGCGCCTTTCCCAGAGAGTCCTGGCAGCATCCCCAGCCAGAGGGTGACAGCCTGGTAAGGGTGTCTCCAGAACCAGGTGGAGTCTAGCTTAGGGACTGTTAGACCTGTTGGGAAAGTCACAACTTAGTCTCTGGTGGCCCAAACAGGAAGAGCTGGGGAAAGATCAAGCCCTCAGCTCCTCTGAGCCTCTTCCTGAGTCTCCCTGATGACTCACTTGTGCCCAAATGCAGAGCCGGGTGGGCGTGTGTGCGCCAGTCTCTGCTGCTTCCTCGAGCCCCCGGGCAGTGTCGGTGCCCTGGATGGTCCCCTGCAACCGGGATCCCTCCATTAAGCCATTTCTACTCCCCTGGGCTTTTGCTAAGAGAGCTGCTGAAACCAGAAAATCCCTGCAGCTCAGCCTCCCCAACTTCCTGACTGTGGTCAGGCCATGCAAATGTCTGCAGGAGCATGGGGTGCAGGACATGATTTAGGCAAATTGCTAGCAGCGACTGTGGGAGCGGGGAAAGAGGAAAGACAGCCCAGCATGTGTGTGTGTGAACCCCTACCCTGGGAAAGGAGACTGGGAAGGGGCCTCCCTGGGCTCTCTGTGGAGGCAACATGGGGACTATTGACTGTAACTGTCACTCCTTCCCTCGTACACTGTGCGTTTATAGAGGACCTCCTGCGTATAGCACCTTGACAGGAAATACAGAAGGGACGCTTTATAGGTAACCTCAAGGAGATCATGGTTTAAGGGGACAGGGATGGGGACAGAAATATTGATGACCTGAAGCATAGTAGAGGCAAGCCATGTACCTGGAAGCTTTTGGGGACAATGAAGCTCTAGACTGAGGGACAGTGGCGATATCATGTGTTTGGGTCTTATGGGATAGGACTTTTTAGACATTTGGAGAGCAAAATGAAGAGGAACAGTGAAGACAGGAGAACGGAATTGACAAAGGTCTGAGCCTGGTGCATTTTCTCATGACGCCGATACCCATGGAGTGCGGGGGGGGGGGGGGGGGGTGGGGGC